GGAGGAGGAGGAGGAGGAGGAGGAGGAGGAGGAGGAGAGGGGAGGAGCTGGAGAACCAGTGTAAACCCACGACGCGTCAACGATGGTACAATAACCCATCCCTTCAAGTTCCGTCATCGTATGTCCCTACAGTAATGTACTGTCATTGCGGGAAGTACCCCATCATAAGGAGTCCGTTTGCTAATTCTTAAACGTGCCAACGCAACATTCCTGGGAATTCAACGCCGCGAATCAACATGATTGTTCCGTCCTGACGATCCTGCATCGTGCCAGTAAATCGTTCTTGACACCTCAACACCGCGAATCAACGTCATTGGTGCGTCCTGGTAATCCTAAATTGCCCCAGCATGTCATTCCTGGGTCTGCAACCATGCGAATCCTCAAAGGTGTCACGCACACACTTTGATGACGAATGTGCGTGGCGCTAAGGCGAGAGCCACATGTTGAACAGAAGCCGCCCTGCATCTTTGAACTCGTTACAAACTTTAGATAACGCACGTGCGCGGCGTTAGGGCAAGGACCACATGTTCTAAATTCATTGCTCTGCATTTTTGGAACTGTTGCAAACTTTTTAAGAACGAATGTGTGCGGCGCTACGGCGAGAGCCACATGCTGTACATTCATTGTCCTGCATCTTCGGAACTCCTGCAACTGTTTAGGACGAATGTGTGCGGCGCTCAGTTCTTGAGAGCGACCTTGCTTCCATTTTGAAACCCCATTTTGAGAACGGCCTTGCTTCCATCATTGAAACTGTTGCACAGTTTGAACTGCATGATCATCAATGGTGGGAACGTCCCACGCGACGCGCTTAGTCTGCCCTGCCAACACGTCTTGTGGTGCGACAGGGAGTGGTTAGTTATATCGAAGAAGGAAGGAAGAGGAGGAGGAGGCGGAGGAGGAGGAGGAAGAGGAGGAGGAGGATGAGGAGAGATGACCAGTGTAAATCCAAGAGTCACCAACGATATTGCAATGCACCCTCCCTCCAAATTCCTTCAGAGGTCGCTACAAGGCTTCATTCTCACTGAGCGAAGTGCCCCGTTGGAAGAGAGCCGTTCGAAGATCTGGAGCTGTGCCAGGACATAATTCCTGGGACCTCGACGCCGCGAATCACCATTACCGTTGCGTCTCGACGACCTGAATCGTGCCAGTATACCGTTTCTGAGACGTCAACACAGCGATTCAACGTGACTGTTGCGCCCAGACATTCCGCGATCGTACCAAGACACCATTTCTAGGACGCCAGCCGTGAGACTATCTGAAAGTGTTGCGAACTCCTAAGACGAATGTGCGCGGCGCTAACGAGAGCCACTTTGTCAAAGCAGGCAACTCTGCACCCGTGAAGCTTTGACAGATTTTCAAAAAGAATCTGCGCGGCGCTTAAGCGAGAGCCACAGTTTGAATGCGGGCCGCCCTCCATCCGTGAAGCTGCTGGACATTTTGAAGACGAATGTCCGCGGCGCTCAGGCGAGAGCCACATTTTGGCTGCGGGCCGTCCTCCGGCGGAGAAGCTCCAACAATTCTGAAGACGAGTGACATTCGAATGCGGGCCGCCCTCCATCCACGAAGCACTTCAACATGTTCCAGGCGAGTGTGCGGAAAGCGAAGACCACATTTTGCGATCGGACCGCCCTTCATCCGCGAAGCTGTTGCAAGTCTCAGGCTTCATGGTCATATATTGCGAGGAGGTGTCATGCAGAACGCCCGGCCTGCCTTTTCGACAGGCCTCTGGGTGTGACAGGGAGAAGTTCCTTATGAAGAAGAGGGATTGACGACGATAACCCATGAATCAGGCGAACGAGATGGAGTAGGCGGATGATGAGGGGAAGGACGATGACCACGAGGAGGAGGAGGTGTAGGAGTAGGAAAGACCCAGGATCAGGAGGAGGAGGTGTGGTAGATGTTCAGGATCAGGTAGAAGAGGGGGATGAGGATGAGGAGTATATGCCCAGTATCAGGATGAGAAGGAGGTGGAGGAGGAGGACCAGAGTAAATCCAAGACACCAACGAGGCTGTAATTAACTCTCATTCCGGGCTCCCTGCTGACGACCGTTCCTCCCTCCGCCCTCCGCCCTCCGCCCTACGAACTCCACCCTCCTCTCCTCCTCCTCCTCCCCCTCCTCCTCACCTCCTCCTCCTCCTCCTGCTCCTCCTCCTGCTCCTGGTCCTCCTCCTCCTCCCTCCTCCTCCTCCTCCTCCTCTCCTCCCTCCCTCACCTCCTTCTCCTCCTCCTCCTCCCCTCCTCTCCCCCTCCTCCCCCTCCTCTTCCTCCCCTCCCCTCTTCCTCCTCCCCTCTCACCTTCTCCTTCCTCCTCACCTCCTCCTCATCCTCCTCCTTCTCCTCCTCCCATTACCTCCTCCTCATCTCCTCCTCCTCCTCCTTCTCCTCCCCCTCCCACTCCCCCTCCCCCAGAAGGGCCCCTGGAGGGCCACGCGCGGCTGCTCCGACGGCTTGTTCAGGCGGGGTGCCAACTTCCGGGGCGGCCGGTCTGGCCCCTCCTTCGCTGACTCCCTGCCACGTCGTGATTACCAGCGACCTCCAGCGAATTCCTCCCACTGGGCACCTTCGCACCCCCCCAGCCACCGGGCCCCGCCAAGCGCGGAACGACGACGACGACGCCGCCGACGACGCCGCCGACGCCGCCGCCGCCGACGACGACGACGGCGACGACGACGCCTCGACCGCGGGCCGCGCGCCCGCGGCCTGGCCGCCGGGGCCTCGTAGGCCCGCCTCGACCGCAGGCCGCGCGCCCGCCGAGGCGCCGAGGTCCCTCGGGGGGTGCGGGGGGGGGGGGGGGGGGGGGGCGGGGCCCGACGGTGCGGCCGCCGCAGCGTCGCAGCTTGGCCCCCCCCTGTGCTCAGATGCAAGGCAGGGCTCGAGCTAAAGTTTTTGTTGTTTTTTTGTTGTTTTCTGTTTTGTTTTGTTGTTTTTTGTTATTTTTATTATTCCTCTTCTTCTTCTTCTTCTTCTTATTATTATTATTATTACTTAGTACTGTTATTATTACTATTATTATTATTACTACTTCTACTGCTACTATTATTATTATTATTATTATTATCATTATTATTATTAATATTGTTGTTATTATTATTCTTATTATTAGTAATTTTAGTATTATTATTACTATTATTATTATTATTATTATTATTATTAGTATCATTATTATTCTTCTTATTTTTATTTTTATTACAATTTATTGTTACCATTAGTATCATTAGCATTATTATTATTTCTCATGTTTTCAAAGGCGTAACAAAGACGCCCCTACCCTGGTTTATGAGGCGCTGTGCGCTGAACCTCCTGTGGGCTGACAGTGTAAACCCTGCGTATCGCGCGCGCCGCGCGGCGTCCTGGCGGCTCTCTGGCCTGTGGGAGCTCCCAGGAGGTTTACTGACCACGCACTTGTAACCCAGGGTAGGGGCGTTTTTTCATTCCTCAAGTTTTGGCGATTTCGTGGACCGTTCTCGTTTTGATTCGCTTTGCAGCACAGGCAGAACGAAGACCGACCGAAGGAAAGCAACACAAAGCGAAACCGAACAGCACTGTTTAGCTCGAGCCCTTTCAATAGGTTTACGCTATTCCGCCGACCCTCCAGAAGAGGAGTGGAGTCCACGGTTGAGGCGTCGTGGGTTTCTTGGGCACTATGTGGGGGTTATTTTGGGTGTCTTGAGGGCTGTTTGAGGGCCTGGCGGAGCCTCTTGGATGCAGTTTTGAAGCGTCTTGGCGGCCGCCTTGAGGCTTCTTTTGGCCCTTGGGGCTTATTGGGGGCGTCTTTTTGGGCTGCTTGGCCCCCCCGTGCTCATATATCTTCTCCCCTCTTTCCTCCTCGTCCCTCTTCCTCGCTCACCACTTTTCCCCCGTGCCCTCTGGCATCCTCCGGCCAGCCTTCCTCCTGCATGCCTCATTCATCCTGCCCATGCCTCTCGCTCCTCCTCCTCCTCCTCCTCCTCCTCCTCCTCCTCCTCCTCCTCCACATCCCCCTCCATACGCCTTCCCCTTCCCTCCATAACCCCCTCTCCCCAGCGAGTCCCGAGCTTTTTCCGGACCTTGAGCCGTTCTTTTGCGACTCGGGCAGCTCCACGGGCGGTGGGGGCAGGGCTCGGGCGTCGCCACCTGCAGGGGACTGGCTCTCCGAATTCATAAAAAACAGCTTCCTGAACTCCAAGAACCAATTCTTGTCAGGAAGGGAAAAAAACACAGACACAATGAATCGTCGATCCCCCGGAAAATCGGGCAAATAGGGGAAGTGGTGGGGAAGACAAAACCCAAGAACATGTGAGACAATACGGGGAATCCTTGTATTTGTGTGTATTTATTTGTGTGTCCATGGGCCCCTTCATCTTGACTCAAACGCATTTGTTTTTGGCGCCTGCCCGCGGGTTTGCCTGCCGCGCGCGGCCCCGCGCCTCGCCCCGGCTCCGCGGCCCGGCGGCCCGAGCGCGCAGCGGCCCGCGCGCACGGGGGCGCCCCTCCCCCCTCCGCGTTCCCCTCCTCCTCCTCCTCCTCCTCCTCCTCCTCCTCTTCCTCCTCCTCCTCTCCTCCTCCTCATCCTCCTCTCCTCCTCCTCCCCCTCCTCCTCCCCCTCCCCCTCCCCCTCCTCCTCCTCCTCCTCCTCCTCCTCCTCCTCCTCCTCCTCCTCCTCTCCTCCTCCCTCCCCCCCCCTCGCCCTCTTGCCCCCCCCCCTCTCGCCCTCGGCGCCCTCGGCGCCCTCCGCGCCGCTTGCCTCGGGACGGCCTGTGTCCCCCGCGCCTCTTCGTCGTCGTCGTCGTCGTCGTCGTCGTCGTCGTCGCTGCGTCGTCGTCGTCGTCGGCGTCGTCGTCGTCGTCGTCGGCGCCGTCGGCGCCGTCGGCGTTGTCGTCGCCCGCCGCGCCACCCCCCGTCCCCTCTGTGCGCCTCGCCTTTTCCCGCCCCGCCCCCCCCGTGGCCGCCGCTCGCCTCCCGCCGGGGCCCCCCGTCCTCCCCGCCGTCTTTTTTGTGGAACGGCGGCCGCGCCTGGCAG